TGAAAAGTAAAACAAAGAAAATTAAATAAAAATGGCTTCTTAATTCTGAAATTGAACCTTAGGATCTTGACTTTGGATTGCAACATATGAATGTTTGATTTTTAGAGAATTTAGTCTCAAAATACTGACTTTTAAGTTTAGAAAATCGACATATTAAATATGACTTGAAAATAAGGTTTATTTGTTCACATAATGTTTATTGTGCCATTTGGTCTGTGTTCAGCTCAGACCCAGGAGGGCATGGTGGAGCTGAGGGTCATCCGCTTTTCCAAATTGTTCCAGCACAAACTGCTGTGTGGAAACGCCGAGCTGCTGTGGAAGAGCGAGATGCTGGAGGGTGCATTGGAGGTACATGTGTTCTCAGGACATTGCCCACAATTTAACACACCAGAAGAAACCCAGTGATGAGGAGAGATGCAGCAGAGATAGTGTAGATTAACCTAAGAGGGGATGTAGTTAGAGGGTAAAACTGTACACTGTAAGTAGTAGAATTCCTACTACTGTAATATTTCTGAAACAACTTTTTTTTTGCACACTGGCTTTTCTTGTCTTTGCATGGTGCAGCCCTACAATCTCCACTCTGCCATCAGATGATTCTGTTTTTACATATCATGGATGGGGGTTAGCGTAATATTGTGCAGATCTTGCGAGTTGTAATGTAAAAGAGTCTTCACTGAATGCTGTTTTTGGTGTAGTGGACAAAATAACTGCATTTCCTCTGAAACTGAGCTGGGTCACATCTGATGAATTTTCTTTCACATCCATAGAACTGCTGCATAATGACACTGACTCTACAGGATGAGTGTCAAAAACCATTCTGGTGCATCAGCACACCGATTGCCATCAAGAAAGTGAAGTCAAAGGCTTCTGACTACAGCGAGAGTCACTTTCAGATGATTTACTGGGACTCAGATGGCAAGGTAAAGGTGACTCTGGTTTGGTTGGAGGAACAGAAGAGGCTGATGGTCATCTCCCTCACAGTCTACATTTCAGTGGTAAAAATCAACAAGCGTTTTAGCACGCTATACGGAACCTCAGCTTAACCATTAAAGGATAGGGACTGGTGATTTTTTTTTTTTTTTTTTTTTTTTGTTTTTTTTTTCCACAAATCCCATACAGAGACTACAAATATTTGCCACAATGTTTATGTATCCAGAACCTGGTCTAGTTTATTTGCCTGTGCTGTACCTGAGACATACTTCGTGCACTTCACGATAAGGAAACCTGCAACTCAGAAAGTTGCTCATTTAACCTAAAGTCCAATAATTAAATAAGCTAACAGAGAATCTGGATTCATAGACGTTATGGTGACTACACAATTTGTTGCTGACTTTAGTCTTTGTATGGGGTTTGTGGAAAATAGCAGATGTAGACTATACCTGATTTAACTTCGATAGTAAGTTTAAAGTATTTTTGTATTTGACTAAATGTTTTCAATAAACACTTTTTGCTTAAAGCTGAAGCACAAGGCAGAATTTTATGTAAATGTTTTTGTCATGGATTATTATTTAGAAATAACATTTAGGACTAATGAAAATAGTGGTTAGCGCTTTCCTCAAGCAAGAACATTCCGGGTTTGAGCCTCGGCCAACCCGGTGCCATTCTTCTGTTCTCCCTGTGCCTGCGTGGGTTCTCTCCAGGTACTCTGGCTTCCTCCCACAGTCCAGTGACATGCACCTTAGGTTGATTGGCGACTCTAAATTGCCTGTAGGAGTGAGAGTGGGTGTGTTTTTTGTCTGCGAGGGTCACCCCTGTGATAGACTGGTGACCTGTCCGTGGTGTACCCCGCCTCTCGCCTAATGTCAGCTGGTATTGACTCCAGAACCACAACCCTGTTAAGGATAGGCAGTATAGATAATGGATGGCTGGACTAACGAAAACAAACATCCACCACCCAGTGTGAAAACAGAGAAGAAAAAGATAAATTCAAGTCATATATTTATACATTTATACAAACAGTCACTGTCTACCACATAGTCCAGACTCTCCAAAGGTGTTCATTGTTCATCTGAGGTCTGATGACTGCCAGGTCATAATATATGATATAATATATATCATTTTCATACACAGACCATTAGGGATAGTGGCACTGTCATCCTGGAAGAGACCACTCCCATCAGGATAGAAATGGTTCATCATGAATGAACTTGATGCAGAGAATATACATTTGTTTTCATGTTTTTCTCATTTTCTTTCCAGTTAGAATTAGCACAACCACCATCATGTTTGCCAACCGCTATGACATCAAAAAGAAGCAGTTCTCTGAGTCACCCCTTGGGGGCGATAGTGCTCAATTTGGCTGCAGCTGTTTGTTATTTAAAGAGAAGAAGCAACATACGGAAGATCTGTCTTGCAGGGCTAACAGTTGTATCCATTCAGAGCATCCAAGAAAACAAATCTGTTAGTCTTTTTATAGTTACAATAAAATGCTGACATTTAATGTTGAGAATGTGTAGCCTCGGATAGTCGCGCAACAAACAGCGAGCAGATGGAGTGATGGAGACGGCGCCTTTCGGTTCATTCTGTCGGTGTAGAGTCCTCTGATGCACCATGATCCCCGTCTCTCTGCTGGTGTGCGTGATGGCAGGATGGTGTGCCATCTATTTGGCTGACACATTGCTGAGGGTGATTATATGTTCTTGTTTTTCGTGTTTAATAAACAGTAAGCTAACCTACAGGGAGAATTTAATGTTAGACGAGATAGCGAGGTCATTAGCTGACAGCTGTGTTAGAAGAGCTAACTCGGCCACCACAAGGCATGTTTTGTATTGATTGTTGGGAAAATGGCCGTTTGATTATGGTACCAAAAACATGAACTAAAGTAGATGCAACATTAGTTAAAGGAGGTGGAGGGAAAATAGTCGCAGACTCTCGATTCAGGTAAAGATAGAGAGATTGAAGCTCACTTAGCAAATTTGTGATTTCCGGTATTATGGATAATACTGACTTTAGTCATAAAGTTACAGTCAAGTGGTAACTGTCCAAGATATCAGAATCAGAACAAAGAAATGATTGATTTTGGCCCTCGCTGTGCCTTACACTGGGATTGATGTATGACTAGTATGAGGAATAATTATAGTTTGTATTAACCTAGATTTATAAGCCTAACCGTGGTTGGATGCTGAAAACTAGCTTCAGCTAGAAACCTTATACACATTTTGCTTTGCTATGCAACAGTGTTTCTGTGTATTTCCCAGTTAATAAACACACATACACATATATACAGTATGTCTCTGTTCCACAGTCATCAATAACACACCGGATCGGCTACGAGACATGGCTGGCGAGTCGAGGGCTGATGCTGTCTCCTTTCCATGTGAGATGGCAGACCACCATGTTCAACAGGCTTTTTTCATACTGTGCCCGCATCAACCCTCGAGCTCTTTATCTGTGGTAAGAATATCTGTAATAGACTACTGCATTTATGTACATTTCTGTTTTTAGCTGTTAAGTTCTTGCTTTTCCACTTGCTCAACTTAACCTAAATCATTATGAATGCTCCAGAATAATCCTAATACATTTTTTTGGTAACTATATACTTTTAGAGAGAGTATTGGAACTGAGAACAAAGTGAAACAGATGTGACAGGAGAAGTCAAGCCCTAGGCTCTGATGGTGTTTAGCGTTGAATTAAGAAAAAAATATACACAAATGGGTAAAATAAAAATATAACTAAACTCAAACTGAAGGAAATAAAAGACAAAATAAATAGCATGTAATCTTTAACTGGTAGTATGTGACCAGTAACTGACCTGTAATAAGATTAGCTATAAATTGTTTTAAATGAATAAGACTTTCTGTGTTAAACCTTGTTATTCCTGTCTTCTTTAAGTCCACTTTAGAGTTGGTTTTCTGGCGTGCCTTCTGCTATTCTGCTGTGCCTATTGATGACACTAATCTTCACTCCATGTGCTCAGTGCAAATATTATAACATGCAGACACATTGTATTGAGTGTCTTAGAACACAATCTGAATACTTTAGAGCTCTTTCTTTCACTTCTTGATTAAGTGGCCATACAGGAGAAGAGGGGATGGCTATCTTGCTGCTTGCAGTTTTAGAATGCTGTCGTGCAGATGTGTCTCTATTGTTGGTCAGTACTCCAAGAGCTCCTTGAAGATCCTGTTGGCTCTATTGGGCTGTCTGCTCAGGAACTTCATTGGGGTTTCCCCTACTGCTGTATAGAAGACATGTCAGTTTCCTGTGGCCAGATTAGCAGATACTGGGCTCCTGGGCACAAAAAGCCCCCTGCACAGAGCAAGACCCCAGACTGAAAGAGCTTTGACTCCCTTTTTAGTCATTTTGGACCTTTTGTGGCAATTTTACACCTATATTTTGTTGTTGTTTTTTTGTTTGTTTTTATGGTCATTTTGCATCTCATTTTAATTTTATCTGTGTTTAGTTGTGGCCGCTTGTTTTTTAATAGGTATTTTGCTTTTATTGCTTTGCTTTTGTCTGTGTGATTATTTCTGTGTGGTTGTTTTGCATGTCCTTGTGCTCATTTTGCATCTGATTATTTTTGTTAGGCTTTCCAATAAGAAATGTTGTCCCTTCATACACAGGCCTGTGCCTGGTACCCTTCAGTAATCTGTCCGTTCAGTTTTCCAGTCATGAAACTGAAGCACTTCCAAATATTACTCTGGGTTTCTTCCCATTTAGTTGTAAAGCTGCTAAAAACATATGTCTACTGAATGCCAGTCAGTATAATGTTTTAAGTGCCACTGCAATAAGATTTTGTGCCCCTGTTCTTATAACTTGGTGGACAAATGAACCACTCTGCCAAAATCTTGACATGTCTTTTAGCCTTTACAATGTAGCTTTCTATCAGTCACAGTTCTTCTTTTCTGCACTTGCATGCCAGCTTGTATTTTTTCAGACAGATGATTCACATTATATAGTCAAAGTACAGCCACATTTAAC